CCTTGTGCTGGGTTTATGTCGTCAAACAATAATTTTTCTATTTTGATAGACAACAAAAGACTGAATTTCTACTACTTGACCCCCCTTGACTCAAAAGCTGGATATACAGGATGTCGCACGGTTGATGGCACGTTATGCGCATACGAAAAACGCCACTTTGAATTGTCCTGAAAATTTGGCAAGTTCTAGAATCAAGCGTGATCTAAGAATTTTAAATATTTTCACCAATGCATCGCTGCTGCTGGTACCAAAAGATAGCATCACCTTTGCGCTTTGCTCAAAAACCGTTAGAAATGGGTATAGGAAACTATTGAAAAAACTGACGGATAGTAATTACGAATCGGAAAACAGTATTAAATACAGGGTTTCTCATTTGAAATAGCACAGTTGATGATATGTTTTGGTATAATATATAATTATAAATAAGTGGTAACGCTGAATTGCTAAAGATTTTTTTAATCGTTTCACTACGAGCGGTTATAGAGGTAGTTAAAATTGCCGAACAATACTAAGTTTTTTCATGGACCATCATGTATAGAATACTTGACGCGTCAGAGTCCAAAGTTTATGCGACACGCCTCTTACTTTAATTTTTGTCAACTAATATTTCGCCCGAGTTCTGTTATGAATGTAAATATTAATTTTTAATTATACTATTGCTTATTAGCCGAGTTGGCCTATAGACTGAAAAAAAAAGTATTTTATTTTTGGAGTACAGTTCAGAATTCTAACATGCGTTCAGTCACCTAGGTGAAGCTCCTGAACCGACCGATAATTAAAGCGAATGGCTGGAATAAATTTCTTTGATGGGCGTAAAATTATGAGCAAGGAAATATAAAATTTTCTTTGAAAATCTCTACTGGAAGAATTAAGTTTGGTATTGACGTGTCTAATGGGGGGATTGAAAAAAATAAAAGCTATAGATATCTCGAAAATGGAAAGCTGCATTATTTCTCTGATAGCTTCATCGAAATCGAAGCAAAAAATACAATTAATTACCATTGTAATCCAACTTCACCCATGAGAAAGTTACCAATAGTGCCTACTTAATTTGGAGCAATTTGTATACTAAATAATTTGCCGCTGTAAAAACTTTAATTTTATTTAGAAAATGTATAAAGTTTTTGCCGCAATATGAAAATGTATGAATATTTTTTCTGCATATTATGGTATTTTTATTTCTAGAAATAAGTTCTAAGCCTGCAGATGCACCTGTTTTATTATTTAAATGTAAAATTGCATTTATGGTATTTCTTATTTTTATTTTGCAGATGGCAGCCAATGTTTACATATCTATGGTGTAATCCCAGACGCAAGAAGTGCACGATTTGAAATTTGGCGGGATTACGACGACAAACGGCTAACCGACTTATTTTACTATCTGAAACTCAATCACTCGAGATTAATAATGTCCGAACTAAAGTGGCGCCCTGAACTGATAAAAGATGTCCAGGTTAGTTTTTGTCAAATTAAATTGGGGGCTCTAGACTTTATAGTCCGTATGCCAATGAACTTGCTTTGCCTTGACTCTGAACTTTTATAAAAATTTTCGCAATCTGGTACTATTGTAATTTGTTATTATTGAGAAAGTTAAAGTTGTGACTTTTTTGCCAAATCTGGAAAATATTCAAATATTTTAAAAGCCAATCCGACTAATTGAAATGACAAATAACATATCTACATTCAATGTTATTAAATTGCCAAAGTTTTATTTGTATCACATAGTTTCCTACGCTTCCATGCCTTTCTCCAACATTTGATTTGGTCAGCAACTGTCCTTTTTTCAACATATGTCGGCAAACTATGAGCTGGATTTTATCCGCAGCGTGGAAAGGTCTTTAGTAACTGACTTCTTATTTGTGTTGTCACAAACGTTAAGAACGGATTTTCGCCAGCGTTAGGATTGTTTTACACCTTAGATTTATTTGAAACATAAGGAAAGACATTTCTTTCTGCTATGTGAATCTACGACTACAGAAATAATGCGCATAATGCAAATGACTTGCTGCCTAAATTTATTTAAACATACCCTCATTTTTAATAAATGTATTAACATTCATCTCTGACTTTAATTAAAAATGGGATACCATAGCTTTCTACGTAAGTAATGAAAATGAATCTCTAGGAATAACACTAATTAAACAGAACTTCCATTGTCTCTCAGCTATAAAACAGTGCTGATGTAAAAGGCCGGACCAGTTTTTTTCTTAGTCTAGCATAATCAGTTACTTAGTTTGAGGCGTCATTAGATCGATAAGCCACATAAGATAAGCGACTCAGTTCAAGTAAAGCATGGAAAATAAAAACACATATTCTATTTGATTTATATCACTGTACTTTTGTAACGAAAAATAGTACTTGATTCCATTCAAAATCACTGCTATAGTTTTCGGTTTTAATACTTTTTTATAGGACGAAATTCGTTCGAAAGCTCTACAACTCTACTACGAAAGCTTGGATCAAATCAATAACACCAGACAGTACATCAGAGCTGAGTCAGTAGATGCGATTGATGGTATTTGGCAAGATGCCAAACCCATATTATCAACATTCTTGATTGAATTAAGGTGCGTATATTTCATCTGTAGTCAGGATTCAAAATTGTATTATTCTCAATTTTCCAGTTGATGCCCTAAATTTATTTTAAAAGCTATTCAGAATTTGTTCTTTAAACATTACTCCGCAATGTTTTTCAAATGTTGGAAGCAACACGATTCACCCTTTAAAGTGGCCCCGAAGGTATTTTTAATTAAGAAGCGAAACAGGGGTCGGCTTAATTTGATTGAATTTGCTTATTTTGGTGCAGTAAATTCTGCTACATTTTTGTCACTGTAAAGCATCATTTCATGTTCCTTTTTTGCGAAAGCTAGATAAGCACAGCAACTCAAAGCTGTTGGAAAAATAATACTAAAAAATAATAACAGTAAAATCGACCGAGGTATTTAAGCATTTTAAAGTAAATTGCAATTGCCTGGTGGTTTAGCTAAATTAAATACATATACACAAATACAGCGCAGTATTTATTTTTTGGATATCGAATAATATTTCAGTTTTGTTTAAAGTTTTTCCGGGTTTACAACAATGGACCATCGAATTTGCTTCCTAACGTTTCGTTCACAGCTGCGGTCACGAATGTATTCTGAACTCTTCTCCGATGATTGGTTCATGAACTTGTGCTATTGCTGTATTTATAAGTACTTTTAGGAATTTAGGTGTCACCGATGTGCGGCGCAATGCTCGCCTCTAGCTATGTTTTAATGTTAACTTATTTCTTTATTTTGAAGTGAACTGAATGTTTCAATATTCCAATTGCACCTCTCCTAACTCTTGGAAATAAATGATGTCTTTGATTTGTCAAGATTTGCAGATCTGTCCCAATACTCAGATTATGACATTTGGCTTTGGCTTGAAGGCAGTTTTAATGTGGCGTTTTTTAATATCCTTCCAACCCTGCTAGTCACCTGTTGTATGTGAGCAAAACAATGGAATCCCCCATTCTCAGCGGTTTTATTATGTGCTCAGTTTTATGATATTATTTATTAAATCCTCATTTCATACTTTTACATCTATTTCAATCAATTTGTTTTCTGATATCACAAACATCCTGAATAATTAAAAGCCAAGAAACTTTCGTTTATAATAACCTCTTGAGTTCATTCGTATGAAAGTTATTGGAGTTATAGAAAGTAAGCAGGTAGATTTGCAAAGAGCGGGTCAAATAATCTGAACAAAAATTAATCCATTTTTTTATAAGCGGGGGTAGCTTCTGAGATTACCCACATTGTCAAGCGCCAAATGCCAATGGGTTTTGGCACCTCATTTATGCGGACCGTATGGTTTATTACCCTAAAGGGTTTCGGTTTTAAGACGGGGTTTCCTCCTATACAATGGCAAAATTCTAAATTCAGATGCCACATTTACGGCAAAACGTTTATTATGCTAAACATTTTAACAGCTTCTCAAATTTTTTTTTTGTTGTGGTATGTATGAATAAATACTTAATTCAAATATTTTTTGGAAGTTGTATAAATATTAATAATGTGTTTTTAATCTGCTTTCCGTTGCCTTTATCTGATTATTTAAAAAATGGTTTTTCATGTGATACCAATGTATAATATAATATATGATACCAATAAACCATTTGGGTGAATTGAGCTGAATTGGACAGGCCGGAGTTTCTTTAAAGCTTCAAAACCTTGTTTCCTTTCCTTTAAGTTCCATCACCTGGAAATATTCCCATAATGGATAATTGGGACTGCCGTGTAATATTCACTCTCATCAGGGCTACTTTGTAATTATACGATTGCTATTCATTTTTAATAAATTGCAATTTTTTTAAGAATCATAGTTTAATTCCATCATTTATTAGCGCTTCGTATTTTAGAATTAAAAAGCATATTTCTATTCTAAGTCGTAAATTCAAATTTTCTTCCAGTTTGTCGAAAAAAGTTTTTATCATTAAAGCGTTGAAAAATTAATGTAGAAATGATTTGAATCGAAATACGTAAATTGTAACTGACGAAGGTCAGGCACGTCACTGCCTTCGGCTGATGTGATTTGGCCGTTTAATTTACGTTCATGTTTGCTCCCCTCAGTAGCAACAAGAAATGTTTTGCAGTTAAAACCACTCTTCGAGGCATAAAGCGTTAAGTTGATATTTACGTATTTCACAACCTGCTGGGTTAAATTAAATATACTGATGTGAAAGCTAACTTCTGCTAACATTTTGATTTCGAAAACTATTGATTGTTTTTGATCTTTTAGGAACCTGACTGTAATAGAGGAAGATTTGGGACACTTGAGAGATTTCATAAATAAGTCGTACCACAGCAATGAATTTTATTTGAAAGATATTAGCTCTGTAGTTCTGATGCTGTTTGACGATTTGTCAATAAAAACGCACTTACAATCGCTCCCTAAAATATTCCAAGAATTGTGGACCGCTATGGGAGCATCGGGGAAGAACATTAAAGACAGTATTAATTTTGTGATTGAAAAAGTACGCCTTTTGTTTTGCAAGTAAATACTGTACATAAGGAAACCTTTTTATTTTAGATAAAAGTGTATTATGCCAACACAACTCAGTTTATACATGATCTAATCAACGGAGATCCTGTAAAGCATTTATCCAAAATTCTTGAGAAAATTGTGGATCAATATGACGATTACATCAGGAATGTGCACGTATTAACTCTGCATTATATTGAAAAATTATGGGTGGAAACATACGATATGATTGTCGATAATTTCCATCAGATTTTGGCCGCTTTGGAACCCACTTTCCTCAAATTCATTCATTATGCTGAAACTATTATTTGGACCACAGGAAAAGAGTTTATAGGTATGCAACGAAAACTTAACTGGTAACAAATTTCAGTTTACTTTTACACTTAACACATAAATAATTCAGTTATATTAGATAAATATACAGAGAATAATATTCATCACATTCATTCAGGGTATCCTACTAAGGTGAGTAAATTAGGGACGGAAAAAAATGATGAATTTGTAGGACATTACTTTGGGAAATAAAAAAATGTATAAAAATATTTTTACATTTGCGTCTAAAATTTACCGAGATGTACAGAACAGATTAAAGGCGATAACCAGATAATTCGAAATGTGATTTTGCCAATATTTAGTATCTTTATTTTATTTATTATTTGATTTCCAAAATTACACAGGAATTATTGGAACAAGCAAAAGTTTGCGACTATGCTAAAACAAACGTAACAAAAAATATAATTTTATTCGTCGACCTACAAGTAATAAACTTGCCAACCAAATACTTTTTATCTAGCAACTTTCTTAATTTGTATCAGTTCGCAGGAGTGTATCCGTTAACTAAATATACATTAAGCATTTGGTTTTTGTTGTCAAGTTCACTTTGTGCTTCCAAAATTACATACGTATGGTTGGTGGCAGTATTTAATGTTAATTACTCAATTTGGGCTATTCTGAAAGGTAATTATGTCCGGCCGAAATCTCATTTGAGATGTGTTTGTCACAATGAACATGTAAATAATGCTTTGTTATCCATTATTAAGGGAAGTACAGAAATTAGTTATTTACACGAGCCATTTGGTTTTAAGCCAGTTTATTCCTAGATTAGTAGATATATTTTTGGAATCCAGCATTAGAGAGTTCATGTAATGCATTATTTTAAAATGGTGTAAAATAGTCCGATTCCAATTCCGTGGTATTTACTTTATTCTGGCTAATATTATTTATACAGCGATCACTATGGCTATGGCAGTACCCAATTAAAATATTCGTTTTATTTGGTACTAAATTAATTAGAAACACCGTTGGTGGTTTATTAACATGAAATTTAATTAGGTCGGTTAGGCTCTATAATTTGGTCTGTCTGTAATTAAATCAACGCATAAGTGATCACAGATATATTATAATTGACATAGGACGGATACTTAATTCATTTTATTTCAGATTTTCTCTACATTCGCAAAAACAAAATCATCGAATCAGCATATTTTATGGAATTTACGAAATTTTCCCGAGATGTCGATAGATTTTACAAAGATATCAGCGGAAATAACACCGTAGAAGCCATTTATAAATACGGCAATATCGTTTGGAATTTCGTAAACGAAAAGTACATTAATCATATGCCGTTCGGAAAGGAACTCAAAGCCGTGATATTTGAAATCATAGCAGAATTGAAGCAACTTGGTGATGTGCCGTCTATTAAATATGCGCTCGATAAGTTTAACGAAATCATGGAAAATGTTAAGTTTTATTACAAATATTTCGAAGTGGAGTTCAGAACGCATCGGTTTATTAAATTTGTCTATCGAAAATTGTCTGAAATGACGGTTACCGCTTTAGAAATTGAAAACAGGTTAGTAGACACTGAATGTTCAATTAATTATATGTTTAATTGAGTTTTAATACAGGCAAAGGGAGGCAAAGACCAAATTTATTTACGAGCCAGATGACGGAATTATGATCTTGGAAGAGAAGCTTCCAATGTCATGGCATGGATTCAACGAAACTCCAGAGTTCCAGGTAAAAATTTTCCTTTTCGATCACCCGTTTCCAATATTAATCTTTACCCCAAGTTTTAGGGCTTAATATTTAGTTATGTTCTCCTTGCATCGTAGATTCAACAGCTAGCGTCTAGATAAATTCGTATGACAGATAGTAGCGTATTGAAGTGTTTAAACACTTTTTTTTGGGTTTTTCGCCTCAACATTTTTCCGTTTAAAAAATATAGAATTACCTCGTCTGTTACAGATTGTTCTCGTTTCACAATAAAAAACAAACTCTTTATCAAAAGGTAATAAAAAGCTCTCACCTAGAGGGTATATCACCTATAGTGAGTAAGTGCGCTATAATTTCGAAAAAGCCGTTATATAAAATTAGCCTCATAAAATCGACAGAGCTGCATATGTGAGCAGCCTAAAAGCTAAAAGAGCTGAAATGCTGTACTCATCCAGATCTGCAAAATTTCCCTAAAATCCTTATTTTTTAAAAATTTAAATTAAAAATATTTCTATAAAAACTCATTTAGCGGCTCTTAGTCTGCTTAAAATTTTGATCTGGACCACTTACAGTGTGAAGGGCGCTGGATGGCAAAAAATCTGAAATATCTCGGACGAATACTGGCCGTTGACATTTCCAGGCACGAATCGTTTCGAAACAATAACTTATTTATAGTCTAAAATTTGGCAAAAGAGGCAATATCCAAATAAGTAGGCGAGGATCACTTGCCGACTCTTAGGGCGCTATCCGCTAAGACATCACAAAGCAATAAACGAGTTCCACCTACCTTTAGGCATTTTGGTTTGGATTCTGGGTTATTTTAACATTCGATTCGATCAAAATAATTAATTGTACATACTTTCCTGACTGTGTTTCAATTCCAAATCAAAATCAATTCCTGGGCTTCAGTCATTTATTGTCTATTTATCAATTAAAAAACGTTTCGGTGTTTTCCACCATCATCAGTTTCAATGTGTAGCGTTGTTGCTACTTTAAGCCTTGG